ACTCAAACTATATAAATTAAAAGTCGGATTAGAAAAATTCTATTAATTTAGTAAATTATTAAATTATCGATTTAATAATTTAACACATTTTCACCAAATTCTAACTGAAATAAACTATTATTTAATAATTTATCGAATATTCAATTTATGAAGATTCTACTATAGATTAGAGAAAAGTAATATATAGTTAAAGAGGAATCATATTAGACCTGAATTATTCGATTTATATTATTTTCCATACAATTATTTGTGGTATTGAATTAAAGAGTTCAACTATTTTGGCAATCTGAAAAGTAATTTGTACACGTTAATTAACATATGAGATGTAGAATTGAGATTCTACAAATTATTGTGCAAATGCTTTCACAAACTTAGAAAGAAAAATGGACGTGTTTGATGTTCCACGTGTTCAAATAATTGAAATTATTTTGTTACGTCTCGAATCAAATTAACTCAATTGCAATGTTGGGAAAAATTGTCTCGCGTACGTTTCCGACTTTGTCATTGTCTGATTACTAAATTCCATTTAAATTTAATAAATTGCACGTGAGATTGATGTGGAGAGGTGTTTATTTTCAAATTGAAACACAAGAAATAGGGAATATGAGATTTAAAATTACGTTTGTACAAGCTAGTGATTAAATTAATAAATGATTTAAGTTAAAACATTACTTCAAGTACGATAATTACTTGCCCTAAATTTACTACATAAATCTACTGCAAACATTGCCACAATATGTCAAGTATTATAAATTATCACTATAAATCTATCACTTAGATTTGTTATTTCATAATTACAATAGCTAAAACATAAAAATTGAATTAGAATATCTTTTACATGTAAATTTATAAATTACTATGCCAGCAATCTGACACAGCACAAACGTTTGCATGACGTGTATGAAATCAAAATTTAATATTAACCTTCAAATTTTCCTGAACACCTTTTTTAGCACGATTTGATTTGATTTTATTTTATTTTTATTATTATTTTTTTAGAAGAGTTATTATTATTATTATTATTTTGTTTCCGGTTTTTTTGCAAGAATGCATGATTATAAAGAATAGGGTAAATAACACTTAATCTCTTTGTGGTTTGAACATTTTGCACATAAACCTTTCATGGCATGAAATGAGACACGTAACTAACACCCTTGTGGTTTTGACATTTTGTACATGACCCCTTATGGAATGAATCTAAAATGGAAAAGACTAAAAAAATGAAATAACCGCTTGTTCGCCGGGCCGGTTCCCTAGTTTCGGAGCCGGTTCACTAGACGTTGTGAATGATTAGAGCGAGCTATTTTGTTATTAATCCTTGGATTAAACATAGTTTAGTTTTTAATTTTTATCTTTAATGCTTGTTTTTTTTTTTTTTTTGATAAGTATTATCTTTAAGGCTTGAATATTATTTATGATTCACAATTTTATTTTGTTTTTCTGAAATGATCTTCAATAAGGTTGGCTAATGGGCCTCAGTGTTGCACCCCCACCGGCCCACCCCACCTTTTAAATCTATTTTTTAGTACAAGAAAAAAAAGTTGGCTAATGGGCCATCCTAATTCAACTCACAAGCAATGATTCACAGCCCTAAACTAAGTTACATACGTAATCAACATGGGCTCATTTGGGCCCAAACTACAGTTCGGGAAAATTACCCACTTAAGAGTATTTTAAATGTTTCCCTTTTTTTTTTTTAATTCAAAATATTTTTTTAAACTTTTTGACATACATCATGTTGACAATTAAATCGTTGATCTACTAATAATCAGACACACATCAATGTGTACGTGTGCCTAGTGAGTGGTTATTTAATCTCATCAACGGTTAAAACCCACCAAACATATATGACCAGGTGTAGCAGCTCAATCACCGTGAATTCTTGGATGAATCAAAACAACGAGTGTTACTAATTTATTCATTTATTATCGAGAAACAAATAATAAAATAAATAGAGGCATTTCTTAACATTGGAAGTGAAGGAGAATACAATAGTGTGATAAAATTAGTATTTAAACGTTAAATTTGCCTCTTTTGAAAGGGACAACTTTTTGTAAGGTGGAAAAGAGAAGACGAATTCTGCAGAGAAAACTAGTGGATACTCTTTTCATTATTGTGTTTTATAATTTGCCACTTATGTGTGTCCTAAATCAATTGACTTTTAATCAGGCTATTTCGCTTTTCGATAGGGCAAAATCAATATAATTAATAAGTTATTGACAAGAATGATATAATTTTTTTTTTTTTTTTTTTTTGAAAATTAAATATGGGCTTAGGGGTCGGGAGAAAAGGACGAGGAGTCGAACCCTGCGAAGTGGGGATAGAATAACAACAGATTGATGAGTCCGGCTCCATGTGCCAATAGATACGAAGGAAGAGGATTGACAAATCGTAAGGGGGAATCACGCAATCAAGGTGTAATCTTCGACAAATTAAAAGATTCTAGGGTATGAAATGTCCATGCATTAGCAAACGGAAGACACGTTTAAATAATTGAATACACAAACAATATATTTGATGAATCCGAGTTCTCTCTTATTCTCTCTATATTTCAAATTGTACGTGTTGGTGTAATTGTCGTCGTCACGATCTTAAACTTCTGCGTTAAATCACTCTTTCCGGCAACCTAAGAGACACGTTTAGAAGGAGCTTGACTAATTAAATTAAAACTAAAAAGAAAAAAAGATGAGTTTCAAATTAAATGGGAGATCCAAATGGACCAATCAATGAATAGAATAAAAATTAAATTAAAACATCAAATGCATTGAAAGGTTGAGGCCATGTTATCTTGACTACCAAAAAATATATTGTTATCCTTTAAGCTTTTGACTTGCCCATCCAATGCCCCCACCAGCCATACCCAATAATAATAATATAATAATAATAATTATAATAATATAATAGTAATAAGAAAAACAAAAATATTATTTTTAAAAATGAACTAGCATTTGTGAGTGGATAACTACAAAACATCTTACTCGAAATGCCCAGGTCAAATCTGTTTTCATTAAAGTTTCTAATTAATTATTAAATCACACACATAATGTTTAGAATCTTTAATTTGGAACTGAATATGCAAAATTATTGTAAATCTAGAAGTAATATAATGAGAATTAAAGGGCCTCTATACAAATAAAAACCATGGAATCTTATTCACAGTGCATAGTCAAAGTCAACGGATGCTGAATTTATAAAGCTGGTTAATCCAATTGTGAATTATTAAATCACTCAAGATATTATTGCACAAAATTAGGCCCATAAAATTCAATTTACTTTTTCCCAAAACGTATTATTACATATTATAATTTTCCAATTTTTTTTTTTAATATATAATTACTAAATAAATTAAAAGAAAGGTAGCTCAAAAAAAAGCTATGTCCACGCTCCACCGCCCCACACCCACACACACACATACGCACATACTTCCGCTTATGTCCTCCGTCCACACTGGCGTTGAATATTCTATTTTCAGTAATTAAAAAAAAAAAAAAAAAAAAAAGGAAAAATGATTTTAATTATTTTGTTGACGTTCGGACAAAAGTTAACCACGGTTTAACACACACCACCAATTTTCCGTTAACCGCGGTTTAGCTTCGTGCTATATAAACGAAGCTAAAGCCTGCCTTTTAGGACACATTATTAACAATTTTAATTTTCATCTTCCTCCAGCTTCTGGTTTTTTCTCTCCCGAGTCAATTAGCTTCTTCCTCAAAAGGTCCGTACCACCAAATTCATATATATATATTTTTTTTAAATGTTTTTTCCCCTTTTTTCTGGGAGGATCATGTTTTAATTAAGCACCAATAAGATGTAAACATATGTATTCGGACAATCGAATCTATTAAACTAAACACATGATTGATCAGATAATTTATGCATACTAAATATATATATATGTGTGTGTGAATTTGCAGAGATAGAAAGAGGAAATGGCTAATGACACATACGAGGAAGCCATTGAAGGCCTGAAGAAGCTGCTCAGGTATGATGATTTGTTTTCCCTTTTTGGTATTATTTACCTTTACTGCCCCTCCTATTTAATTTCCTCGGGATCAGCACTCAAGTAATTAATTTTCCGAAGATCTGGGCTTTTCCGTAATTTCCACGCCGTATGATAAGCTTTCCTTGCATCATTAAAAATCAGCTAAAACGGCCAAACCCCGCATTTAACGGCTCTGTTAACTTGTTAGGGGTGGGGGGAAATAAATGTTTAACTGTTTTCGTACTCTTGTGGGCCCCACTCTATTAATAGAAAAGGGTGGGCCCCACGCGCCATTTTCGCTGGATAATTATCCCGTTGTTTTTTTTTTTTTCTGATGGCGTTGGTTTCTGTGTTTTTTGGAGTGGCAGTGAGAAGAATGAGCTGGAGGAAGTGGCAGCAGCAAAGGTGAGGCAGTTGACGGCGGAGTTGGCGGGGGCCGCCGAGAAGCCGGCTTTCGACCCGGTTGAGAGGATCCGGACCGGGTTCGAGCACTTCAAGAAAGAGAACTACGAGTAAGTATATTAATAAAAAAAAATGAATATAAGGAAATAATAAAAGTGTTGGGTTGTACCTTGTGTAAAGGTGTTGGAACCTTCTGGGCATCGTTAACTGCGAGATTCTTGGAGATGCCGATTAAAATACTCTTTGCATTGCAATTACCTAATTACCCTTTAACTAATCCTCTTTTTATTTTTTTTTGAAAGTGACGTTTATAATTAATTAATTAGAGTAATTCGTACTCTGCCCAAGAACCACTTTATCCTCTTGTACTCTTAATTTCGTCGATTTACCCCCTTGTGCTTGTACAATTTCCCAATAAAACCCTCTTCGTCAACTTTTTTCGATTTTTACTCTGACGCTATTTGGTCAAGAGTCAAAATATTGACGTAAATATTGATTTTTTTTTTATTTTGACTCTCGAGATTAGAAAAGAGAAAGTTTCATACATTCATATATTTTTTTCTTTGCACTGGGTGGAATCGATCAATTTTTTGGTCTTGATTTTTACTAAGTTAGGAGTTCAATTTGGGGATACCTTGGAAGGGGAAGTGGTGGGAGAAGAAGAAATGACAATATTGACGGAGGAGAAACGACGCGTTATATGCAGTGACAATTTTGTAATTTACAGAGTTAATCAAACGGCGTCAGAGTCAAAATTGACAAAAGTTGAAGGAAATAACTGTATTGGGAAATTGTACAAGTACAAGGGAGTAAATCGATGAAATTGAGAGTACGAGGGGATAAAGTGTTTCTCAGACATAGTACGAGGGGTAAAGTGGAATTTACCCTAAATAGTAAAATGGTTAATTAAAGAAAATGTAGACAAAGTGCGTTGATTGGGATATGCATTTTGGTTGATATAGAATTGAAGTGGCCTGCCCACCCAAGATGATGGACAAACATGCATTCTTTAAATTTATTTATTTAATCTTTTAATTTGATCTACAAGTTATACTAGTTCGTTTATTAAAAAAAAAATTGTTTTTATTTATTTATTAATTAATTAATTAATAAGAATTACACTCTCCCCATCTAAACACTAGAAAAAGGTTCTTGAGTATTATTTACTATTTATTTATTTGGTTATTATAATTATAATTATTATTGTTGTTGTTGATATTGTTGTTATTAATAGTAATTAATTACAAATTGTGATTTGGTTGTAGGAAAAATCCAGAATTATATGGTGCACTCGCCAAAGGCCAAAGCCCCAAGGTAAATTAAAAGTCAACTGCAAATGCAAATTTGAATAATATACAATGAATCTGGACACTAATTAATTTATATATAAATAAAAAAAAAATGCAGTTCTTGGTATTTGCATGCTCCGACTCTCGAGTATGCCCTTCGCACGTGCTGAATTTCCAACCCGGGGAGGCCTTTATGGTGCGAAACATCGCTAGCATGGTTCCACCATTTGACCAGGTTTTTTTATTATTTATTTATTAATTCTACCTAATTAATTGTGTTTTATTTATATATAATTAATTTAATTAAATTCTCTGGTCAAAATCTTGGGGCCATCTAAATTAATTTCTTATTATGCAACTAAATAGAAGCAAAAATCTTGCAGAAAAAGTATTCAGGAATGGGGGCTGCAATTGAATATGCAGTCATTCATTTGAAGGTAACATTATTTTAAACTCCCCAGTCTTCTATTTCGATTCCTCACAACTTCAATTTTTCACACATGTTTAATTTAATTCTAAAACATTCAAAAAAATCAAATAAAAATAATAATAATAATAATTTTATTTATTTATTATGTGTTTAAAGTTCCACTTTCTTAACCACATGACCACCTAATTCCACGATAGAGTTCCTTTTCTTCCTTTTGTTATTATTATTATTATTTGTTTCTGCTTCGGGCAAAAAGCAATTCTTAACGAGGAAGTCAAATTCATCATACTTCATATAATTCACCATGCCCCACTATAATATTATCCCTAAATATTTTAAAATTGGTCATGGGAATCAATTTTTAGTTTAATGTTGTCTTAAAGAAAGACAAAAGCTCCTATTTTCTTGTTCTAAGATGGCAAAATAAGCTGTAATTGAGCTTTATCTTATCAAGAATGGTAGGTCTAATAACTTATCTTGAATTATTGGGAAAATCATGTATATATTCAAAGATTCCAATTATATCCCTATTCAACTACTAGTAGTTAGCCATTGATTCTTTATCCCATGGATATTATTATAACATTCTTCTTCAATCTAAATATGAACAGTAGCATCTAAACAAAAATGAATTAGGAATCATGATTACTTATATACTTTCTTGATCTAAATATTTTTTTTCTGCCTATATTTTTTTTTCGTATATATATATATTGAAGAAGAGAAAATAAGATTGAATGAATTAATTAATGTTAGGTGGAGAATATATTAGTGATTGGACACAGCTGTTGTGGTGGGATAAAGGGACTCATGTCTATCCCTGATGATGGGACCACTCAAAGGTCTGTTTTTTTTTCCTAGTTAAGTTTATTTAATTACTTATCAAAAAAATATTTATTTATTTATTTATTTATATTCAGGGCTTATTACTATTACCTACTTATCTCTTATTCTTCTGATAAGTTTTCACCTATTTCTGACAACATTTAGTGTACCCAAAAAACAGAATTCTTACATAACTTTTGTTTGTTTTAAGGTTTTCATTTATTCACCTTTGGATATTTTAAGTGGTTAAATTTTTATTTATTATTTTGTTTTTCTCACAATTTAATTTCGAAATTATATGTGTAGTGATTTCATTGAGGAATGGGTGAACATATGTAAAGTAGCCAAAGCCAAGGTCAAGACAGAATGCAACACTTTGGACTTCACTGAACAGTGCACTCAACTTGAGAAGGTTAACTTTTATTTAATTTTCACACCATTATTATTAAATTCCAACTATAATAAAGGTTGTTGTATTAACATTAATTAATTCATGTTTTAAAAAAAAAAAAACAGGAGGCAGTGAATGTATCACTAGGAAATCTGCTAACCTACCCATATGTGAGAGAAGCTGTGGTGAAGAATGCTATCTCTTTGAGGGGAGCACACTACGATTTCGTTAAGGGCACGTTCGAGCATTGGAATCTCGATTATAACCTCTCTCCTTCGGTTTCACTTTGAGATTTTCTTTTTAACCTTTTTCAACAGTTTCTACTACTGTAAATGTTTGTCACAAAATTCAGCTTTTGTTTGTTGCCAAAAAATAAATAAGGTTTCTTGGTTTTCTATGCTGAGTGTAGAGGTGACTCAGTGAGTCTAGGTTGGTGTTTTTGATTTTTGATTTCCAGTATTTGTTGTTGGTACTGAAGAAGTACTGTGAACACATGTTTCTAAATGAGTGTGCCTTCTAAATAAATTGGCTTTTCTTGTTCTAATGATCAAGTGATTTTTCCAATTATTTATTTATTTGTTTTATTTTTACTACATTTCCAAATTATCCTTAGCTTTGGTTTCTAATCAAGGAATAGGATAAACAACAACCTTTCCAACGGCACGGTTCGTCTCCAAATACGAGAAAGCTTCCTCAACTTTGTCGAAACCAAACGGCCCCTTCGGATCGACAACTGCCTTCACTTTGCCACTCTCCAAATACGGATTAAGCTTCTTCAAAGTTTCTCCGTTCGAAGTGACCACAAATCTAAAACCAGGCGGTGTCACTGCACCCGTTAGCACCACCACGCTGCCGCCTTCTTTCACCACCTTCACCGCCCTATCGCACTGCCCTGTTTTTTTTTTTTTCCATCGGAACGTAAATCATTAAGGAAAATACTTCGTGGAATATATAAAACAAAAACTAATACACGTACGAAACTTACCAACTGTATCGTAAACGACATCAAATTTCTCGGGTAGGTCTTCGAAGTTGTCCTTGGTGTAGTCGATAGCCAAATCAGCTCCCAAACTTTTTAGAAATTCTAACTTGGAAGTGCTGGATGTAGCAGCTACCTTCGATGCACCAAACACTTGTTTCGCGAGCTGCAAAATTTACCAAAGTTCAAACATTAATTTATTTAAAAACCCGATTAAATTCCAAACAAGCGTCAATGATCAGAAGTTTTATGTGATTCATTGCATTCAACATCCATGTTTTATTTTCTCCACCTGAATGACGAGAGAGCCAACGCCACCAGCTCCACCAAGAACAAGAATAGATTTCCCCTCGGAAAATCCCGACTTTTCTAGACCTTCATAGGCAGTCTCGATTGCAAGAGGTAAGCCCGCCGCCTGAGCGAAATCAAGATTACTGGGCTTGAGAGCCAATAACTTCTCCTCGACAGCTGTGTACTCAGCTAACGAACCAAATTGTTTAGGACCATCCAATGCTTTCTCACTTATATCTCCGTATACTTCATCTCCTTCCTTGAAGCCCTTTACCTCACTCCCGACCTTGACCACAACTCCGGCAACATCGTACCCCGGTACTGTCTGAAAACAAAAATCAATAGATACACACATCACATGTTTATAACTTATAGCAAACTACACCTAAAAACTCAATTTTTACGAGGTTGTGTGCTAAAAAAATGAATTGTAAGGGTTTTTTTTAGCAATTTGATATAATACAGGGGTACTAAATGCAATAAAAACTTATAAGTTGTGAGTGGTAATCTGTGGTATGCATAAATTGTTGTTATTTACAACGAAACCCCATAACATGACTAAATATATAGTCAGTCACAGAGACATCATGAATTTCAGAACAAATTAACAGTAATTGAGGAATTAAAAAAAAAAATTAATTTTACTGGAAGGGCAAAAAAGGGATAAGAGAAAAAGTTACTGGAAGGGGGGAATCGGTGGCCTTGAATTTCCCGAATCTCCTCTTGAAATCGACGGGGTTAAGAGCGGCGGCAGCGACTTTAATCAGAACCTGGTCCGCCTGCAGCGGCGGCACAGCAACATTTGACTCGAGCTTCAACACCTCAACGCCGCCGTACTCGCTGTAAGTCCAAGCCTTCATTTCCGACGGTATGGAGTAAGAACTCGTCGCGGCTTCCGCGGAAGGCGCAGCCGCCTGTGAACTTGCAATTATTCGAATTGTTGGAGGGCAAAATTGTCTCTTCTGCGCACAATTGTTTGATTTCTTCGGCGCATTGATGCTGATTTTGAAGGGTGAAAATTGAGGAAGGTGGTGTTTGCAGCAGAGAAAGGATTTTCTCAGTTGGAAGGTTGTAGAAGAAAGGATTGAATCCATTGTTTTCTCTCACTTTAGCTCTGCTTATCAACTTGCTATCTCATTCATATATGATCATTCATTTTTCCCCACTCAATTATTTAATTTATTTTAATTTATTTATTTTGAATAAAATTATATCTGGACTGTACAAAATTTCTGGATGCAAAATTATTTCCATGTTACCACCTCTCATTCAATGTATTTGGACATAATATTAATTTCGAATTTCTTTATTTTTTATTATTTTTCAAGAAAAGTCGATTAAATAATTTATTAATTAATTTTAATTGTTTGGATACTACTCAGTAAAAAAAAAAAAAAATCTAATGCAAGAATGCATCATTTTCACAACATTTAAAAATATTATTTTATTAAATAAAATAAAATTATTACAGCAGCATTTGAATTCACCATCAATAAATATTTGATGGATTAAAAAAAAGCGCAAAATACTTACACATATGCCAACCTTTTATGAGAATGCCTCGGATTATTTCTCCTTCTAACAGCCCATCTCTCTTTAATATTATATGCATCACCTTCTTCTTCTTCTTCGCCGGAGATAACATCAGTCCTTCCTCCACCGCCGGAATATTTCCTGATTCTGGCAGTTTCAGCGAGCAAGTCATTAATCAACATCTCAGTGGTCTTTGTAGTAATTCCTCTGAGGTACCATGAAATCGGGGGAGGTACAACAATGGCTGGTTGTATCAGTTGCTCTAACCTCAACTTCGAACCAATTCTTCCCTTACCGTTAGTGCAAGAAACGTACTCCTTTAGCGACTTTGGTTTTATTGCACCGCACATCTCTTCATCTACAAATAACGGCTCCATTTTCCAGCTTCCTTCGAATTTTTCCATGAACCCCGACTTTATTTGCTTGAACTTCATCTGGAAATAAGAATTAGTAACTAAAATCTACATTGCAAATGAAGTTAAATAGATCGACTAAATAAATAAAAACTTGTCCTTACTGTATAATCATCTCTGTTCTGGTCAACTAAAACGTTGACCGAGATTGTTCCGGACCACAAAAGGAATCTCCACATTGCAGCTTGCTCCAGTTCTACTACCTGCCTTGATCCTTCGTCGACTATTACCTTTCTTGATATTACTTCCTGAGTGTATAAAGTGTACCATTTACAATGTGACACAAATAGATCACAATATAAAATACAATTTCATTTATTTTACCTTAATGTTTTTGAAAACTCTCTTATTATCAGGGTCCGTCACGATGTTGTACACTGCATCTGGCGGCAAACCAACATCAACACTCAAACTTAGTTTGGAAAGAGTACCTTTAGGTATGGTCACCTGCAAAGAATGTTGTCGAAAGATTTATATATGTACTCAAATACTTTAGGAGAATCGTAAAAAAATTGAATCATATAGCCCAATTCTGATCTAAATGTAAAATCGTAAAATCTTTTTCTTTGGGATTTATCTTCCAATCTTGAAGGGTTTTGCTTGGATTAGGATTTAACATGGTAGAGACTAGAGGGTACTGAAATTGTAAAATCCTACAATTTTGAGTATTTTAATTGGGATTTTAACTACTATGGCCACTGGGCAACACCATTCGACTTGTATAAAAAGGTTTTGATTTTGGAAAAAAAAAATTCAAAGTAATCACCTTTATATCTGCAGGTCGATCCACCCACGCTGGATTGTCTTTCCAGGCACATAATTGACTCTCTAAACTCAAGAATGAATTTTCTTTGTCGCGGCTCACGGTAAGGAGATCCGACTCCAACGCTGCCACACGGTCTTCGGTCATCGATTGTTTATAAAGATACTGAAGCATTAACAAAAGACGAGATTTGTCTTCAAAATAAAGTATAATTAAAACTTCTTCCTTCGAGTTACTTTATTAAAAAAAGAAAAAATGGCGGACCAACCTCGAGAGACTCAAGCACTTTCTTCTGAAAGAACGAGACAAAACTAGGACGTGTGTTCACTTTTTCGCTCGAATTATCGGTGCTCGATGTGGTAGTTTGTACGTCGCCCATTATAACCTGTGTGATTATCACAAATAATGTCATTTCTATCCAATTTGGTAATAATACAATTAAGGAAATGATTAATGCAAAGGCAGAACTCTAATCTTCATTAACGTTTTAGCATATTTACAATGCTACAGTTCACAATCCATAGTCGAAACTCAATTACAGTAGTCAGAAAATTAAAACAACAATTACACCTAGCATCATCATCATCATCATAAGCTAATCTACTGTATGTGACATCATCCATCAAACCTCCACAAACAGATTCAAACCAAGGCAAGAGTTGTCTTCATTAAAACAATTGAATTTTAATTTATTTTTTTAATCGTTAATCGTGTTCCAGACTTGTGAAGTTTAAGGAAAAAGGAAAACCTAATCGGAAGAGGGGAAAATCGAACTGTACAGAAAATCATGGAATAATAGGGAAATTCAATTTCAGGCATAATTCGAAAAAAAAATAAAAAAATCAGTGACATAACCATAAGACGGCGGCAAGTTATGATTACCTTTGGAGAAATCAGATCGGAGAATCGAAGAACAAAGGCGGAAATGATATTTCTCTGAAAGCGGGAATTAATACTTTGTAGGGATTTGGTAAATGGTATTCTGGGCAGGGATCGACTATAATCCAGATCGACTTTATATTTTTTCTTTTATTTTTTTTCTAAAATTAAACATAGTTACATAAGGGTGATGCAATAAATACAAATTAATGGAGTTATAATTAGAGCTGGTTTATAATCTAAGTACATGACCCTGACCCGTGACACAGTGGCGGGTTATTATTGGGCCCGACCCAAAAGTACTTGCGAAATTCATATATGGGTTTTTATATTTCATAAGATTACCCACTAACAAACAATTATTTAATTTTATTTAACACTGACCTTATAATTTTGATAGTCAAAGTTCCAACTAATTCTGCAATTAAATAATAAATATTAAATACTATTATTCAATAAAATTAATAGTTATTGTATTCATTTAATTTTGTAGGTGGTTACTAAAAAAATTACAAAAATAGTACAAATAATGTTTAAAAAAAAAAAACAGGAACATTTACTAAGTAAATAGTTATAGAAAAACAATACAATAAAATATAATTTAAATAATAATATTAAATGAAGCTAATATCATAAGCCTTGATTCCATCAACCCGGAACATTCCAAAATGCTTCTCAAACTCAACACCAGTTTTACCATTCTCATCAAACAAATCAAAAAGAAAAACCTCAACCCCAACTCCCGGTCTTTTCGGAGTTCCGATATTACCCTTCGTCCTCATCACAACATTCCTATTATAATCCAACGCATTACCAGCTCCGGCGCCATCTCCGCCGTCCGTCGGCCATCCCGTCTCCGTCACCATCACCGGAATTCTAGAAAATCCTTCTCTCTCCATCGCGTACACGAACGCGTCTATCGTCGCATCGTACACGTTCGTGTATTCCAGATCGCGGTCAATCTCGACCGCCGACGACCTAAAAAGGGCGTAGTCAAGCGTGACGTACGGGTGGTTGTTGACGTAGCTGAAGAAGGGGTAAACGTTGACCATCAACGGCGATTCGGTTTCGTTCAGAAATTTCAGGAGCGGAACCAGAACTGACGTGAGGTTGTGGTCGAAAGCGCCGGCCGACGGTGGGTAGGAGTCGGACAAAACGGCCGCCGCGTGTGGGGATGAAAGTTTGATTGTGTCGGCTAACCCTAGCATCTGAAGAGCTCGGTACAGATTGAGAATGGCGGGTACTAAAAACGGGGAGTAGTACGGGTCATTTAGCAGGACTTCGTTGCCGACGGCGAAGTATTTTACTTGGGAAGGTGAAATGTGGGTGAAGATGTTGGATCCGAGCCATATGAGGGAGGCGGAAACGGTGTCGTTTGCTAGATCGGGGATGATTTCGTTTGGGATGCCGATCATGAGCTGGATTCCGGTGCCGGAGAACGGGGCGAGAGCTTCCGGATCAGGGTTGAAGATCCGGATCCTTGAGATTCCGTTGGCTTGGAGGAGGTGGATCACGGCCGGGGGTGGTGGCAGGTCACTCGCCACGCGCCCGTAGCAGACTCCTACTGGTGCGGCACTTGTTAGATGTGACAGCAGGGGTAAGATGGTAAATACAGATACAAGGTGTGGAAGGAATCTTTGATTGATTCTCATTCTCTGAATTGCCATTTCTGTAGATAATTATCTGCAAAAAATTGCTGTTTATAAATTAATTTGTGCATGTTATTTTATTGATATTTTGGTTTGATATGGTTTGAATATAGCTAACTAGCTCTGCTAAATTAAATGTAAGGTTGATGAACTAAATGTAAACCACCAAAACAAACAAGGACCATTTAGGACTTGTGTGCTAAAAAAAATTGCATTAAGGGGTTTTTTGTTAAATATTTTATTAGCAATTCGATCGTCATAATATAGGGATACTAAATACAATAAACCTGATTCGTTTGTGCTAAATATAATGCGTTATATTGGGGTTTTTGCTAATATTAATAATACGGTGGTTGTTTTAGCAATTCGTCCATATAACATATATATAGATACTAAATGCAATAAACTGGTAGTTCATATATCCAATTCTACTCAATTCGTTTACACTCACGTTCAAAAGTGTAATAACAAAAGTAAATGTTTTCTTCTTTCGTCTGAATCACGGGAGATGCAAAACCACCAAGAACAAATACAGATTTCCCCTCGGAGAATCTAGCCTTTTCGAGCCCTTCATAGGCGGTCTTGATTGCAAGAGGTAAGCCCGACGCATGGGTAAAAACGAGATTATTGCGCTTGAGAGGCAATAATTACTCATATAACGAACCATCCGATACTTTCTCACTTGTATCTCTGTATACTTCATCTTCTTGTTTGAACCCCTTCACTTCACTACCAACTTTGATCACAACACTAGGAGCATCGTACCGTGGTACTGTCTTAAAAAAACAGTAAATGCATTTCACCGACATTCACGTGTTCATAACTCGTCTTATAGGGTTTATTGCATTCAACACCCTTATGTTTTTTTTTTCTTTCTAATTGTTAAGAGGAAACATATAAGGGGTCATTTGATATACACCCCTAGAATGGAAAATATATAGGGATAAGTCCACCCCTAAAATTCTTTCTTTGAGATACACCCCTGGAGGGGCAAAAGTACTATTGTGCCCTTATTTGTAAATATTAACCAACTGCATTCAGCTTTTCCACCTGCATTCAGCATTATTGCTAACTGCACTCCACATTTTTAGAACTGTATTCATCATTTTTTCAGATTTTTTAATAAAAAATTATAAAATTTTATTTTATTATTATTTTTTTATATGTACCCTCTTTTTGTATTTTTTTTTATTTTTTAATTATTTTTAATTTTTAATTTTTACTTTTTTTTATTTTTGTTTTTTTAATTTTGTTTTTTTAATTTTTTTTTAATTTTTAATTTTTTTTAAATTTTTAATTTTTTAAATTTTTTTTTAAATTTTTTAATTTACTGTACTGAAATTGACTACACATGACTATAGTATACCACAGTCATGTATAGTTATATATAGCCATGTACTGTTTTTTCCGTTGATTATATATATAAAAAATCGTCTATACCAATAAAAAAATTCAAAATTTGATTCTTGATATTATAAATAATTTAATGCCTAACAAAAAAGTCAAAAAAAAAACACAATCATCAAGATCACTATACATCAGAAAAACCACATAGCTTGTATATAAATATATATAACTACATGGAACTATACATGACTACAGATATCTATACGACTAAATTTGACTCAAATCGCACTTGTCAACACAAGAACCGCTTGTTTTGAACAACGAACACTATCCACTCCGCAAAAACTTACTACATAGTAGTTCAAACACCAAGACCTGTGAAAATGAAAAAGAGTTAAACAAACAACGAATTTTGCTTCAAATTTAAATGTGCACACACGCACTATCACCTACTGGTATACATAGATACTCCCCACATAACTCATACATGACTATATATGACTACATGACTACATAGTTTATATGAAACTATATATTACTGCATGTGACTACACCATATATTACTGTATGTTACTACACGTGACTATATATTACTATATGTGACTACACCATATATTACTGTATGTTACTACACATGACTATATATGACTACATGTATATGACCACATGTGACTATATACATGTATGTGACTTTATTTGTCCCTTCAAGTACCTGATTTTGTTCTCCATGTGATACGAGACAGCTTACATTATCCAAGTCAAATTACAAACATAGAGTGCTAGTCATTATTCTTCGTTTAACCAAAGGTCACAGATCATAGCAAGTTGAAGTGGAACGCCACACATTATATAATAGTTGAAACACACGTAAAGTAGTCACCTATTTCATTCTCGATAAATAAAATATCAATATCATATTACCAACAAAATATTCTCATCACGAATCCACATATACTCCCAAGTATAAAAAAAAAGTAAACAAATCATTTGAGGACCAATAAACAGTGATTCAATATATTAAGAAACACATTAAAATTCATTACCTTTTCTATGCCTTCAATGGATGAACAGTCAGTTTTGTCGCACCACCACTAGGAACAAGTTTCGAGTTTTTTTTATTATATTTCTTGCCACAACAATCGCGTTTTATGTACAAGTCGACTCCTAAAATTAAACTCACAACCTCACACGAAAAAAAAAAGAAAAAAAAATTAAAACCAAAACTCAAAAAATAACTGCAAAATTCGATGATGGCTGTACAAAAAATACTTTGGTGAACTCAAAAAATACCTGCAAAATTCGAATTACATTACATGAAAAATACAAAAAAACAATGAAAAACACTTTATTGATAAATTTATTTCGGTGAACTATAGTCATAAGTAGTTATGTGCATTATTGTTACTGCACATGACTAGATATGACTATATGTAGTCAACTATAGTCAGATGTAGTTATGTTCATTCTTGTTACTACATGTGACTATATATGACTACATATGACTACAGGTATACGATCACATGTGACTATATATGTATATGAATAAAATTCATCTACACCACTAAAAAAGTTCCCAGCAGTTTAAGATAATGAATTATGCTCTGTTCTACTTTCCTTGATTGTCGTTGTCGAATGTTGTTGCAACATTCATTATACATTATTAAAAAAACAGGAATACAACAGACAATTGTAAATAAATTAAGTTCAGTTTAAATATCTACGTTATAAATCAACTCATAACAACAAAATACAGATAGAGAATACACAATCAGATGCATATATTACTATATGATACTATATATTCCATTTTGGAGGAATGGGGCAATTTGTTCCAAATACCCCATATTAGATGAACTCCTTCTCTGTTGTATTCCATACATAATTCACCTCAAAACCAAATCCAATATCTTTCTCACCATTTAAAAATAAAAATAAAAAATTGAAATATAATTAACAGAAAATGGTTAAAAAATTAATGTAAAATTGTTAAAAAAATTATCAAATGCTAGTCAACTTTGTTTACTAATCATATTTCCTACTCATATCACCTCCCAAAGTCATTATTGCTAAAAAAATCAAAATTACCAATACCAACCAAATCGCCTTTTCTAGACTAGAAAAAACATAAAAAATTATCTCAGGAGCCTATAGGACGGAAATTCCATTATATAGAAGAAGAAGGAAAAAAAAAATGAAGAAGAGAAAAGCCAAACCTAGTAGAAAACGCCTCTCTTGGTCTTTGCTTCCCAGATTTGGAGCAAGGAGAGAGCAATCCCGCTGGACATACCGGAGGCGACGAGGTCACTGACAACCGTGTAACGGACATTGATTTCAGTTCCCGACGAGTCTTCCTCCTCCTCGGCTTTGATTTAAGTGGCTGAAGAAACTTGGAGCAGTGCGTTCTTAACAAACGGGAGTAGAAATTGGAACTAGAATTCAAAGAAATGGAGAAGAAGACAATGGTGGAAGAAGAGAGAGAGAGAGAGAGGAGCCGCCGTTTCTAAGAAGCGAGAAGAGACGATGGTGGAAGAAGAGAGAGAGAGGAGCGGCCGTTTTTGAGAAGAGAGAAGAGAGAGGGTTAATTTTCAGATTAGATCTAGGGTTTAATGGGTTCCACCCCTAAAAGGGCAAAACAGGTATTTTAAGTTATCCAGGGGGGTCTCACAAATTAAGTTCAGAACTTGGGTTTTTGACTATGACAGAAAAAAACATTGGGCCTCCTCATATATATTTTCAAAACTAGGGGGTTATCCCACATTTCCCCAACATATAATAACGGATTCTGAATTGTAACCAAGCTTCGCCCATTGGTTCTATACCCGATTCATAACTAGATAGTTTCTCTGGCCCTTTCCTAATTGGGGCTAAAATCGCAGAAATGAAAAATGCCAAAATAGGAATATGATGAGGCCTTACCTCCTTTTATAGTACTTTTCGGTCCGCCTTTCGGCATTTCCGAAAAAACCGGGGCGAGCGCATACCTGCCGCCGCACCCACTACCTTCCCCATGTTAGCTTTCAGCCGACTCCGGGTTGTACGGATGATTATCTCTACCTCGAACGTGGTTACCCTACCACCCCCTATCGTGTGGTCATTCCATCATTAATGCTGGTGTTAGCGCATTAAATTACACGCAGGCGCGTGTAGCAGACGAGTCCGGCTAAGCCATTACAACTTTCTACCGTACCAGTTAGGGTCATATATGCGAGGCATTTGTTCGCCACAGCTTGCTTCCGAGCGTCTCCCGTTATTCGGCAAACGATGCTATTGCCGAGGAGATCTCTTATGTGGGCCACGACCTTGGGCTGAGCTTTCCTATGGGCTTCAAAGAGCCTTTCCCTTTGCTAAGTGGGCCTTCTCCTTGGGCTTCTTTCTGGTCTGGATCGGTATGACTTTCACAAATATTTGTTAACTACATAATTAATTAGAGAGTATAGTAAATAACATGTTTGTTTGTCAAACTTCATACTAATTTATATCTGCACATAAAGTAATCTCGCAATTAAATATTATTGTTAAATAAAATTACTAGTTACTGTGTTCGTTTAATTTTGTAGGTGGATAATTCAAAAAAAGTACGAATAAAAACATGATTGTTATTACAAAAAAAACATTTAATAGTTTTAATACTAGATATAGTACAAAAAAAAAAAAAAAAAAAAAAAAAAACCGGGAAGATTTTACTAAGTAAATAATTATAGAAAATCAAATATAATTTAAAATTTAAATAGATATTAAATGAAGCTAATATCATAAGCCTTGATTCCATTAACACCGAATATTCCAAAATGTTTCTCAAACTCAACACCAGTTGTTTTACCATTCTCATCAAACAAATCAAATAAAAAAACCTCAACCCCAACTCCCGGCCTTTTCGGAGTTCCAATATTACCCTTCGTCCTCATCACAACATTCCTATTATAATCCAACGCATTACCAGCTCCGGCGCCATCTCCGCCGTCCGTCGGCCATCCCGTCTCCGTCACCACCACCGGAATTCTAGGATAACCTTCTCTCTCCATCGCGTACACGAACGCGTCGATCGTCGCATCGAACATGTTCCTGTACTCCAGATCCCGGTCAATCTCGACCGCCGACGACCTAAAAAGGGCGTAATCAAGCGTCACGTACTGGTGGTTGTTGACGTAGCTGAAGAAGGGGTAAACGTTGACCATCAACGGCGACTCGGTTTCGCTCAGAAATTTCAGAAGCGGGACCATAACTGGTGTGAGACTGAGGTCGAACGCGCCGGCCGACGGAGGGTAGGATTCGGACAATACGGCCGCCGCGTGTGGGGATGAGAGTTTGATTGCGTCGGCTAACCCTAATTCGTGAAGAGCTCGGTACAGATTGAGGATGGCGGGTTCTAAAAATTGGGTGTAGGATGGATTGTTTACTAGGACTTCGTTGCCGACGGCTAAGTATCGCACTTGGGAAGGTGGAATTAGGGAGAAGATGTTGGATTCGAGCCATATGAGGGAGGCGGAAACGGTGCCGTTTGCTAGAGTTGGGAGGATTTCGTTCGGAACGCCGATCATCAGCTGGATTCCGGTGCCGGAGAAGGAGGCGAGAGCTTCCGGATCCGGGTTGAAGATCCGGATCCATGAGATTCCGTTGGATTGGAGGAGGTGGACCACGGCGGAGGTTGGTGGCAGGTTACTCGCCTCGCGCCCGTAGCAGACTCCTACTGGTGCGGCCTCTGCAATTTAGAAAATTATTATTATTATTATTATTATTATTATTATTATTATTATTATTATTATTATCATTAAATTTGTTTTTGAAGGGAAAAAATAAAATTATGGTAATTGATAAAAGACCTGTTGAACTTGAAAGTGATAGCAGGGATAAGATGGTAAAAACAGATGCAAGGTTAAGAAGGAATATTTGACTGATTCTCATTTTCTGAATTGCCATTTCTGTAGAGAAATTATCTGCAAAAATATTGCTGTTTAAATATGTGGAAACTGTTTATAAATTAATTTGTGCATGTTATTTTAATGATTTTTTGGTTTGATTATGGTTTGATTCTGGTTTGAATAGCTAACTTAGAGCCCGTTTGGCTAAGCTTATTTAAAACATCTTATAAGCTCCTACATCTGATAAGATGTTTTAGGAGCTGATAAGCTGTTAGATCTTATTTTAAAAATTAATTTTTAAGGTGTTTGGATATGTAACTTATAAGTTAATTTTAGTTTTTATAAGTTAATCAGGTGTTTGGAAATAAAAGGTCTGTTTATCACTATAATGACAAAAAAGTACATGACGCCATTATAACTGTCAAACTAATTCGACTTAAATAATTTTGTTCCTAAAATGTTATTATAATAATATTTACAAATTAATTTTTCAAATAAAAATAATAATATAAAATTATATATTAAACATACCAAATATTTTTTTATGTACGTTGATATGACATTTGACAATTTTTTAAAATAAAATGAAGTGTAATAAAATATTTTAATGAAACAGATTTGTGAAAGTTTTAATTTTTCTCCCATTAATATATTAATATATAATAATATAAAGGTTGTAAAAGAAATGTATATTTTTTTATAGCTAGATAAAAGAAATATAATTTATTATTGAGATAATAAGAATATTCGGGTATTTTTATATACATATAAAATATAAATAGAGAACATTTTTTTTACAATTATTATGATAATTATATTTTAACTAATTATTAATCTTGATTACAAGATTATGTTGTTTTGATAAAATATAAATGTTATTAGTATTCATGTAATATAATAAAGTATTTGAGGGTAATTTTGTATTTTAAGTGTTTTAGTAAAGAAGCAAATAAGATCTTATTGAAAAAAGGTGGGGTGGAGGTACTTTTTTAAAAACATCTTATAAGCTCCCTAACAGCTTATTTTTTGAAAAAATAAGATCTTTTCGAATTTTTTTACCAAACACTTTTTAACAGCTTATAAGCTCTCAAACATCTTATAAGATGTTTTTAGGAGCTTATAAGCTTAGCCAAACAGGCTCTTACTATAGCTCTGCTAAATTAAATGTAAGGTTGATTTAACTATAAATTACTACACGGTAAAACTTCGATAAATTAATAATCTCGTTTAAATAATAGTTTATCTCTGTCACGACTATGTGAAAGTTGTTCAATTATTAACTTGATAATTTTAATAATTAGCTAAATTAATAGAATTTTTTGTATTAATTTATAGAGGTTCAATTTTATATATATATTAAAATATTAATTCGTGTGATGGTGGAGACAAGACTCACAAAAAGCGTGTGAATGTTTTTTAGTAGATCGGTAATGGGTTAGCGCTTTTTGAACAATTTTTCGGCATATTTCATTATTGCTCCACTTTGAGTACAAGAACACACACAAAAAATAATAATAATAATAATAATAATAATAATAATAAAAATAAAAAATAAAAAATAAAAACCTCCATCATCCGAAAGATTAATAATGCTTCATCATTAGAGTGGATACAAATTATTATAGCTGATCCAGACCAAAAGGAGGTCCAAGAAGAAGGCCCACTCAACATAGAGAAAGGCCTTCAAAGCCTATAAGAAAGAGCACTCAACCCAAGATCATGGCCCGCATGAGAGACCCCTCTCCTCGGTAATTGTATCGATTCCCGAGTGAATAGGGAGCACTCGGAAATAAGTTACGACTGGATGCGTCCCATTTACGGCTCTGACTCGATCGTCGGAGTGTTAACTCTGGTATCAGTCCAGGTGTTATTTTCTTAACAGTTAAGGGTGTTCGAAAGGCCAGCGTTTCGAAAGTCCATCCAAAAGAAGTGTCGGAGAGGACCAGTCACTAACATTATAATAAAATCCTTGTCGAATTAATAAAATTGAACGCATAGAAGAATCTCACTGTAGCAACAAATTCTTATCTGCGATTTAGACAAACAAGAAAAACTTGCACAAAAATAATTTATTGAATTAAAATAAAATATTGCGGGTTACAAACTCTAATTTAATCCTCTGATTCTTCTCTCAAGAACAATATATGTTGACTTTGAATTTAGGAGTCGGGTCGTTGACTTGATCTTCTCCGGATTTGATTTTGAACTTGAATAACGTTTTTCGAGGGTCTTGCGACTTGAATCTCGGATCGAACGCTGAACTTTGACGAGCTTTGACTTGAAGATCTTGGAGTTCTTGATGAATTTGGCCCTTCAATCTTCCTTCGATCTTGATTTGTTGAACTTTGACGGGTTTTGACTTGAAGATCTTGGAGTTCTTGATGGATTTGGCCCTTCAATCTTCCTTTGATCTTGATTTGTTGAAGAACGCCCTCGATTTGATGAAGAACGCCTTGAATTTGTTGAAGAGCGACTTGAATATTGTAGAGAGAATTTTCTCCTACGGTTTTTTCTTCTTCTTGAATTGTGTTTTGAATTGTGTAGGGAGGGTCCCTATTTATAGTGGTAGAATAAGAGTCCTACATGAAGTCTTCTTGATGACGTGGCGCGATTTGATTGGCTCTCTTTAAATTGATATTTATCTCTTACAACTTGGAAGAGAAGAAACAATCCTATTGGTCAATAATTAATTGATAATTATCTCCATGACTTATTTTGCAAGATAAATTATAATCTTGGAATTCAATTTAATATAATATAAATTATATTAAATTTACATGTCTACAAATGCCCCCTCGAGACTTGTTCACGGACAATGCGTCTTGGAGTGAATGAGTCTCGATAATTGCTTAACTTCGATTGCAGCTTGATCTAGCAAAGCACATACATCTTTTGAAATCATGACTGGACTTAGAGAGATTCTAAGTTGCCTACGTACCCTATAGAGGGATCAAGTCATAACGTAGTTCAAAATATATCCTTTTGAGGGATGTCATGCACAGTTTACACTCATATGGACAAGGAGAAACATTAGTAGTTTAAGCTCGTGCTGAAGGAGCATTTGACTTGAATTTGTAGATAGTTTATGCTCGTATCAAGGAGCCTTGACTTGATTTCGATATATAGACAGTTTATGCTCGTATCGAGGAGCCTTGACTTGATTTGGATATATAGACAGTTTATGCTCGTATCGAGGAGCCTTGACTTGATTTGGATAGATAGATAGTTTAAACTCGTATCAAGGAGTATTGACTTGATTTGGATATGGAGATAGTTTATGCTCGTATCAAGGAGCCTTGATTTGACTTGGATATGTAGATAGTTTATGCTCGTATCAAGGAGCCTTGATTTAACTTGGATATGTAGATAGTTTATGCTCGTATCAATGAGCTTTGACTTGACTTGGATATATAGATATTTTATGCTCGTATCAAGGAGCCTTGACTTGACTTGGATATGTAGATAGTTTATGCTCGTATCAAGGAGTCTTGATTTAACTTGGATATGTAGATAGTTTATGCTCGTATCAAGGAGCCTTGATTTGATTTGGATATATAGATAGTTTATGCTCGTATCAAGGAGCCTTGATTTTATTTGAACTTGTAGACATTTTAAACTTGTGTCAAGGAGGGCTTCACTTGATTTGGACATGTAGATCTTTTAAACTCGTGTCAATGAGTATGCCATTTGATTTGGACATGTAGACCTTTTAAACTCGTGTCAAGGAGTGTTTCATTTAATTTGGACATGTAGACCTTTTAAACTCATGTCAAGGAGTGCTTAATTCGTTTTATTTGGACATGTAGACCTTTTAAACTCGTGTCAATGAGTATTTCATTTGATTTGGACATGTAGACCTTTTAAACTCGTGTCAATGAGTGCTTCACTTGATTTGAACTTGTAGACCTTTTAAACTCGTGTCAAGGAGTGTTTCATTTGATTTGGACTTGTAGACCTTTTAAACTCGTGTCAAGGAGTGCTTCATTTGATTTGACTTGTCATATTGCATAGGGTGTTGCTTCTTCAAAAGATTTGCCCCCATCATCATGATTTTCTTGTTCTTCTTCAAGATGCACTTCTTTGAGCTGGTACGGCTTTTGGAATGGTGATTCTTCAATTTGATTTGCAAGTATGCTCAACTCCATATCATGTGCTCAAGTGGCCAACTCTTCAAAACTTTTAGGTTGAATTACTTGAAGGATATATCGGAGTCCCCATTGCATTCCTTGGATGCACAGTTCAATAGTTGATGTCTCAGACAGTCGATCCTTGCAATCGAGACTCAAATTTCTCCAACGTTTGATGTAGTCGATGACAGGTTCCTTCTTCCATTGGCGGGAATTGGTGAGCTCAATCATGCTGACTGTTCTTCGAGTGCTGTAAAAGCGGTTGAGAAATTCTTCCTCTAAGTGCTTCCAACTATCGATGGAGTTTGCCCCCAAATCAATGTACCAATCAAACGCATTGTCTTTGAGCGATCGGACGAATTGCTTGACGAGGTGATCTCCGTACGTCCCGGCATCATTGCAAGTCTCGACGAAGTGTGCCACATGTTGCTTGGGGTTGCCTTTGCCGTAAAATTGTTGAAACTTTGGAGGTATATAGCCCATTGGCATCCTTAGATC